ACATATCACCTGTCTTACTTTAGGACAGTCTGTGAAGATGAGTCACATAAATATAAAGCAGCGGAAATATATAGGAGCTGTTCTTAGAGTGTTATTTTGGGGATGGATAAATATGTTCCATCTTTCAAACCAATCTCACAAAGACAGACAAGAAGACAACTTAGCTGCTCATCCCAACTAGCCTACCTCCAGCCACAGGGGCTGGACAACTAGAAAATCAGGTCCTGCTTTCTCTGAAGGGGTCTTTACATAGTTGCACTATCCATCATCTCATCCTGAAAACTGCAGAATAAAAACACAGTCAACTGTTTTGGCAATGGGATGACTGATTTTGACCTGAGGCAAAACTGCAACTGAATCCCAGACAGAATAAGAGCAATACCTATGCAACAATCTTGCATGTTCTTCATGTGTACCCCAAAACCTAAAATGCAATTAAAAATTAAATTAAATTAAATTTTAAAAGAGCAATGCATGTACCAGTTACACTTGAGACACAAAGAGCCACAACAGAAAGGAAAGAAAGCAACTAAGTATGCATAGTCTACTGCATATGCAGATCCAACAGTCATGGGACATAGCTTGTGTGACTGTGTGTCCATACATACACAGGTGTGTTGGAAGAAAACATTAAGAAATTTTGTAGCAGTTTAATTTTAAACATGATAAATTTGAAAGGGAGTGAATTCACTTGCTCCCCTCTGGGCAGGGGAATAAGATAATCTTGTACTACAGAATAATTCATCACATCTTCTGTAGGGCAGCCACTCAATACCATGCACCTGTTGCAGGTAACTTAAAGTCTGGTCTGGAGAAAGCAACTTTAGAGTTGATGGGAAGGGATCTAGTACAAGAGAGTCACCACAGCTTAGACAAAGCACAAATAAACCTATCATCAATAACATGGAAAGAAATAAGAACTTTCTCCTTAATTTACTTTTTTTTCCTCTTATGATTTTGCACACGTACTACATTGATATGCCTTCTCAAGCTTTGTTTAACATCAGTGTGTAAATCATTAAGATCATAATGGCAAAGGTAAACTCTTCAGGTTTTCATAAACATTAAAAAACCCAGTAATTGAGCTCTTTCCTGGAATACTTGTCACCCTAATCCAAGTGCCAGGTGACATTTTCTGGAAAAGGCCCTTGTAGAAGGCAAGACCTCTGTATTGGAGCCAGTCTGAATTCTTTACATCCATCTGCCAGGCTGCATCTTAGTCAGCTTCAAATCTGAGGGAATCATCATCACCACATCACCCCTTTGTAAGTTTATCAGAATTTACTGCCTCAAAATTTCGCAGTGTTTCCACCTTGCAGAGAAATCCAGGAGGCAATCCTGGAGAGGTCTCCCTTGCAGATGCTAACTGGTCAGCAGCTCCCCAGCTGTGTGTGATGAGGGTCCTAGATGGGTTTCTGCTCTGCTGCCAGCTCCAGTGTCTCACTGGTGAGGCCCCAAAAAGCCTCATGCTCGGTGGTCTCCTTGGGGTCTGCATCTATGGTGATTTTGTGTTCTCCTTCCCTTCATGGTTGGAGGCAGGCCCTATGACAACAGAAAGGACGATCTTCTCCTAAGGCACTACTACTTCCACCACTTCTGGCTGAGTTCTGTCACCCTTTGCGCCCTTGGTGGTTCCGTTTCTATTTCAGTCTACTCTAAATTTACTCCTTCCTCTGCAAGGAGAGCTACCTCCCTTGCCTCCACTTCCTCCCCAAGAAACTCTCCATCTGCTGACATCAAGATTCCAGTGCCACAACAGCATCAGCTCCAGGTTGATCAAGTTGCAGATCATACTCTAGTCTGTCTGCTTTGTGAAAAATGATGTCCTGGGTGGGCGAACCCATTAAATGAACCACCAGAAGCTATACCAAGTCAGTGCTTGTTGTCCATAAGTCCCAGGGAAATGTCTGAGGCATGGGTGAATGGATCGCTTGGCCAGAACCCACAAATACCACCTTAGTCTTGAAAGTGTCAAGGTCAAGACACAGCAAAGTCTCCACTTTCTTCACCTTAGGGACCTCATTTTGGGAAGGTATCATCATGCTGATTTCTGGAGCAAAGTTGTCTTGAAAGAAACTGATGATATTCTCCTGCTGCAGTTCCCTTGTCAGGTGACTTTAGACAGAGATGAGACAGGAGGTCATTTCCTGGTCTGCAAGGGTGACTCAAGTCAGGCTGGCACAGGAGAGGCAGGTACTAGTGTTTGATTCGAACTAGCTGTTGAGCTGGAGAGGGGTGAACGCTCCCTAGGTGGTGAGGACATCTTTACAATGTGGAGAGCACTCAAATCACTGGGTGTTGGTCCTTGAATGATGAAGGCCTTGTCAGCGTACTGGTCACCCAGTTTTGTCATCACTTCATACTGTTCGTAGCAAAGCACCACAGTTTCCTTATGAAACTTGGTTTCAAGGCTGGAGATGTTTTTGAAAATATTGACATAAAATCCAATTTGTTTTGACTATTATAATGGTAACTCTTCCTGTAAGTCAGCATTAAACTCTTCAAACCCTCTCTATGCTTTCTGAGATTCCACTTCTGCCTTAGACAGAGGCTCTCATCCTTCCTCCTGAAGCTCTGCTGAGCCCCATGGAGGTGGGTAGGCACTGGCATAGTCCACCAGCTTCCTGCTGCACTTGGTGATGTGATTCTTCAAGTCAGGAAATTGACCCAGGTAGGTATCCAGTGTTACCAAGGATGCATCCACGAGTTTTTCGTGGACATCCTCCCAGAGGACATCACATTTCTCGCCAACCATTTTCACATCTTCCTGCCCAGACCAATCCAGCACGTAGACGTCACGCAGTGAATCAGCTTCGTCAAGGTCTCTTGAATGCCTTTGATTGCCTGCTAAACATCCTCGGACTTCTCTCAAGTCTGGTACCCTCTGCTTCTTGCAGAGGGTCTGAAGTTCTGGACATATTTTTCAAACTGTTCATCTTTTGTCTCACCAGCCTTCTCCGGCTTCTGGAGGACCTTTTTCTGTGTGTAGTTGAGTCTCTTCCGGGTGTTCTTGGAGAAAACATGCCCTCTTGATGTTGGCCAGGGTTGTGAGTCCAGGGAGCTGCGAGGAACTTAGTGCTCAATGTGGCTGGTGGCAGGAGGGGCTGGACAGGGAGGGGAGGGGAGGAGCACGAGGGGGGATGGCGAGGTCCTTGACCCTACTGTTGATATGTCCTTCTGGGACCATCGGGAGCCCAGAGCTCTGCTCTGTTTCATAGGACTCCACAAAGGGAAACTGAAAGTCCCAGTCTTTCACTTCGCTTGGACTTTTTATCTGGTCTCTTCATCATATCTCTTCTGCTCAGGAAGAACAGAAGGGGAGGAGAGAAACTTTCAGGGGTGTCAGCCTAAGTGTCCATTTATAGAATTTATAAAGTATCTGATTATCCTAATTATCTTTATACCAGCCTGCTATAGCAGGCTTCAGGATGACTGGACCTGAAGGGCAAATCAAGAAAGATTTTCTTTGACGTGGCTTAGATCCCCCTGAATTCATTCCCAAGGGCACAAGGAGGGAAAGAACAGAATGAAGTATAAATTGCCAGTGTCTTGGAAGACAATACAGAGAACAATAACAAACAGATAGAAGAACTAACAGATATAAGAAAAGATGTGGGTCACTTTAAATTGTATTTATTCATTTTAATAAAATTATATTATGTTAAAAAATGTGTATGCAAGAAGTTCTGTAATACAATAAGGAATAAGAATTATTCAGGATGGTAAAGAATTATCTTTACCATCCTGAATCACACAGTCAAGAAGCTACAAAAGAGCAAGGCAAATTTCACACGTAATACAGCCAGACACACAGACAGACACACAGACAGACACACAGCCAAGTTGAGTAAAACAAAAAGAATATTTTGGTCTAATCAGATAAAGGTCATTTACTAGCCTGCAAACTATTGTAAAGATATTATTTTAATTTTGTTTTCTCCATGTTATTTATACATCCCAAGAATTCTGGAAAATCCCCACCTTTCTGTGAGTAGTCGGGGCAGCCATAGATCACTTAGAGTGTTAGTATCCGAGGTCAGAGATGAGGGCCATCTAGCTGACTGGCCATGGGGTGGCCCCTTGTGTAGTCCAAGCATTTCATGCCCTGTATTCTGGTCACAAGAATATCTTTTAAAATTAATTTAAAACTTGTCATTTGAGTCATGGATACTGGCTCTTCACCTGGCCATAGGAGCACACACCCCTTCTCCTCATGCCTACACTCTGAATAGAATCAAATTTGAAAGATATTTGGAGCCAAAAAAGGCCATTTTATCTTTTAGTTACAAGTACTGCCTCCATCCTCTCCCTTCTTCCCCACCCTCCACATATGACCAAGTGTTCCTCAACTCTGCTATTTTGCACACGCCAGACACCCCATCTAGTCTTATCTAAGATGTACCCATAAGCCAGACCTCTCATACCACTTTACTTTCTGAAAATGCATCTCTCTGTTCAGTAGTAACTGGAATTACCTCATCAAGACAATGGTCATCTGAATTAGAAATCATATCTCTGTTTTTAAATTACTATCAATATTATTTGATAAATATTAAGCAAAGTTTTAACTGAACAAATTCCTCATAGAGATACTTTCCCTAGTCTCACCATTTGGAATTGAGGTAAATGGTTTACTCTCACTGAAGAAGTGAGAGTAAAGCTCATTTCTTCACAATGTGCAATTTTCTAGAGACAGCATCTAGCTCCATGTGAGCAAGAAAACTGGATGTATGTCTGAGGTCAAGAATGCTTTATTCTTGTGTATGTCAGGACCAATACATGCAGACCATATGAAGAGCAATGGGTATTGACTTAAATACTGGTGACCCAAATCATAGACCCAAGAATTACATATATAATTAGGTCTATATATACACACACATATATATTATATATACACACACATAAATGAACACACAATTATATATTTAATATATAAATATATAATTTTTATACAGGAAAATTTACAGTTTGGGAAACATTCATATTTTATTCAGGATGTGCAAATTTATGATGAGGCAATTAAAAAATACACAATTATAGCTGCAACACTATACTAGCTGCATTATGGTGATTATGTTGTTCAGCAAGCTGTCCATTATACACAACTGGATTTTAATCATGGTATTTATAGAGGAGCCAAAGCGCTCATCTAAAGGTAAAGGCACTCAGGTTTATATATTTAAATTATAAATATGTAAATTATATGTCTAATATACATAATAGTATGTGCGTACGTATATGTGTGTATGTGTTTAAGTATGTATGTATACATATGGTGCCAGCCATAGGCTAATGAAATAGTGTGAGTTAAACTACCTGGAGAAAACAACATCAGTTGAGCACAGAGATATGTGCTTAGTGTTGTACATATTTTATATCACATACAAATCCGCAATGGATGGGCAGGGTAAAATAATGTTCTAAGTAGCAGAGGGATTGGTTGATTTCCACTGAAATGTGAGGGATTGGTTAGTTCTCACTGAAATGACTTTCCCTAGTTATGCCAGCAATGTTGTCATCCTGTCCAAGTTCCCTGAATTATTCCTTAGTGAAACAAAGTCATGCTCTCGAGTGAGACAGGGAGAATAAGTGAAGTACACCACTCTGAATCTGCTTAGTTTTAATGCTATAGATAACCGGGTTCATAAAAGGTGGGAAAAGGAAGTGGATGTAGCTCATTGTGATGTGAACCACATGAGGAATGTGCTTTCCAAACCTATGAATAAATGTCAGACCAACTACGGTGACATAGAAGACCAGGATGCAGCAGATATGAGAGACACATGTGTTGAGGGTATTGACCCTTTCTTCTCCAGAAACAATGCCCATGACAGTCTTGAGAATCAAAATGTAGTGGAAAAAGATGATGAGAAAGTCCAACAAGACCATTGCAAATACAACTACAACTGGGTAGAGACAATTGAAGGTGATGTCAGCACACGCTAGCTTGATGATATCTTGGTATAGACGGAAAGCATGGGAGAGCACATGGGATCGACAATAGGGAAACCAGTGTAGGCGAACAACTATTGGCATACTGGACAGATCAGCCCTTGTCAGTACCCCTACACCAATCTTCATTACCTGGATGTTGGTCAGGATAGAGGTATATCTTTTTTTTAATATATATTTTATTGCATTTTAGATTTTGGGGTACACGTGAAGAACATGTAAGATTGTTGCATAGGTACATACATGACAATGTGATTTGCTGCCTTCCTCCCCACCACCTATATCTGGCATTTCTCCCCATGTCATCCCTCCCCAATTCCCCACCATACACTGTCCCTCCCCTAGTTCCCCCCTACAGAACCCAGTGTGTGATGCTCCCCTCTCTGTGTCCATGTGTTTTCATTTTTCAATACCCACCTATGAGTGAGAACATGCAGTGTTTGATTTTCTGTTCTTGTGTCAGTTTGCTGAGAATGATGGCTTCCAGGTTCATTCTTGTCCCTACAAAGGACACGAACTCATCATTTTTTATTGCTGTGTAGTATTCCATGGAGTATATGTGCCATATTTTCTTTGAACAGTCTATCATAAATGGGCATTTGGGTTGGTTCTAGGTATTTGCTATTGTACATAGTGATGCAAGGAACATACATGTGCACGTGTCTTTATAATAGAATGATTTATAATACTTTGGGTATATATCCAGTAATGGGATTGCTGGGTCAAGTGTAATCTGTTTCTAGATCCTTGAGGAATCGTCACACTGTCTTCCACAATGGCTGAACTAATTTACACTCCCACCAACAGTGTAGGAGTGTTCCTATTTCTCCACATCCTCTCCAGCATCTGTTGTTTCCTGATTTTTTAATGATCACCATTCTAACTGGCATGAGATGATACCTCAATGTGGTTTTGATTTGTTTTTAAAATTTCCCAGTACATTTAAAAGTTATGTTTACACTATACTATAGTCTGTTAAATGTTTAATAGCATGATATATAAAAATGTACATACCTTAATTTAAAATATTATTTAAAAATGCTAACAAAATGAGCATATCCTGTTGGAAAGATGGTGCAGATAGATTTGCTCAACACAGGGTTATTACAAACCTTCCATTTGTAGAAAATGCAACATCTATGAGGTGAAGCATGAAATGAATAAAGTGAAGCATGAAATGATCCATACTTATAGATGTTGTAGTTTTTATATTAGAAAGTACATAAACAGAAATTGAATGATTACTGTTATAAATATGAAACAACCTTTGCAAAGATTATGACAGTGAGAGAAATCTAACATGACTGACACCATCTTGATTCTGGCCTCACAGGCTGACTATCTTCACTCATTTATGGGCATAGGCCAAGCTAACCATATGCAGGATGTAGTTTATAGTTTAACTTAGAAGCAAAGACCATCATAGTCCTTCCCCAAAACTAATCACCTCCTTGCACAGAGGCTGAAACTACCTTTGTCAGACTAATGAAAGACCACAAGATTAGAAATAAGAGATGGGCCTGAATTCTGCTAAAATGTAGGTACAGTTTTTATAATCCCATACTGCTTCAAAGTGATGTGGCCAGAGGTCACAAGATTTGTGACTTCTCCATTTGGTCCTTTAGTTCACATCACTACTATAGAGCTTAAGATTGGTATTTTGAGATGTTTTTCAGATTGATTCCATCCAGACTTGTGACTCATGACTCAGCTGGTCCTCTATCCACATCCTCCACCCCCCACAACAAAAAAACACACAGAGAAGCAGACTTAGCTGTGGGCGACGGAAGATCTGCCGGGGAGTCTTGGCGAGCAAGAGGGTCCCGACCTGAAAGAGGGGGTATGCAGAATTAAAGAGAGACAGAAAAGCTGGGATCTGGAGGACTGAAAAGGCAATGCTTGAACAGCAAATTTATTTTTGTCCAGGGTCTCAATATATACCTTAAGATCATAGGTGTTTAGGTGTTTACACAATCAACAATGGAAAGTTACAAAATATAAGATCACGAAAACAATCTTAAGCATGACATTCAAGGATCATAAAAGTGGGCAGGTGGTATGCTTTATCTGTTTTTACCAAAACACACTTTTGTAAATAACAATACCTAAGAGTCACAAGCTAAGCCATAAAGTCATTATCTAGGGTTCAAGGCGGTCATGTGGATAAGGTTAAACTTCTTGAAGAACAAAGTCATGCAGAGGCCTAGTGGAGACATAATGTCTGATAAAACCACAAGACCCTTGCCCAAGCGTCATTGCAGTCAGAAGTAGAAACTTTTGCAACATCACTCGTTTCTCAGTCCCTTCTTTCCCCATAGCTCGACTGCCTCCAGCAGGAAACTGTGTTTGGGCTCAAGCTCATCGTCTGGTGAGGCCCACACATTAGGGGGGCCTTTCACAGGAGCGTTCCCCACACTTAGCACATGAGGACCATTTTCTACACCTTTATTATTACATCCCCAACCAATCAATAGCAGCACCTATTCCCTAATCCCCTACCCACAAAACTATCCTTGAAAAACCCCAACCTTTGAGCATTTGGGGAGACTTATTTGAGTAATAACACCATCTCCTGTGGGGTTAATCTAGTGTCAATAAACTCTTTACTACAATACTAGGGTTTTAGTCTGTGCAGTGGGCTGGAAGAACCCATCAGTGATTACAAACACACTAAGTATTTCAAAGAAGTCACAGCGTAAAGACAACCCTTGTAAACTGGATGAGTCAAGGAGAATAATTTGTGGTGAGGACAATATTTTCATTGTAATTGAAGGCCCTGAAGTGAGTGAGAATGATCAGTGACGCTAATCACTGATCAATCAGTACAGTTCTATAAATCCACTTTATACAAAGGCCTGTGTGTTTAGGAGATGAGAAGATGGCCATTCCCGTTTGACCAAGGTTTTCAAGAAGCCTAAGCAAACATAGGCAGATGCAGAAGGGAGGGAACACACTAGGCCCATGCTTCTGGGACTGAGGAGGGGGCAGAATGGGGAACAGATAAGAATATAAGCACCACGTGCATGGTAAAGCCGCAGAAACATGAATGGAAAGGAGGAAATAGAAAAAGGATATCCAGGCACAGCGATATCAGACTTATTTGCCAATAAATGTTTATCTAAAAATAGAGCCTGGGATTGTACAAAAGAAGAATTTGTTGCTTTTGCTGGGACTCTTAGAATCTGTAGCCTGGGCATTGTGACGTTGTTCATATTTTTCTTTATGCTTCAGTTGAGGTCTTCTTGTCAGCCATTCATTCTCAGAGTGTCATGGTACAGAAATTCTGGGTGTGAGACAATTGCATGGAAAGTTTTGGGAAGAGTCTGTTTTCTTACATAATGGTAGTTTGCTTCATAGGTAAATGTAAACAACAATTAAACAATTTATTGTTTGACGAAGAATATTTTTGAGAGTGAAAGAAAGTAACATTAATAATAATGCTAAGGAAAACAGATGTAAACCATGAATATCTGGAGAAAACCAGAAAGCAAGCTCACCTTACTCAAAGACAGTTCCTAGGACAATATTTTTTTAATTGGAAGATATGGGTTAAGTAGTTCCTACCCCATATGGGTTAGTTCCTAACTAGGTGAGTTCCTACCTAACCCACAAAAATAGAAATTTTGTTTTATTTAAATTTAAATTTTATTAAGTCTCAAGCTTTTACCGTTAACTCACTAGTTGTCAGGCTTTTTTGCTAGGAGTTTTGAGAAAATAAAGACAAGGAAAATCCATTATTTCTGCCCCAAAGTCACCATGTCTTGTTAGAAGAGAAAGTCATATAAGTGTGTGCACACAGAGACACACATATACAAATAAAATGTGAGATGGAAAGGGTTAGGATTAACTCTTGTGTTTCAGAGTTTTAAGCCTGTTGCAACACTTTAAATTCCTTGTTCCTAACCCTCCTCAAAACCTCTAGCATAGAGCTTTGCCAATAGCAGAAACATTATCAGAGTTTATGAATTTAATGACAGTTCATAACTCTTTGGAGTAATTCAGAGCAATTCCCTCTTGCAGGAGAACAAGGTGAGAATTCCCTGTCGGATTGGCCGGGTCTTAACGCTATAGATGATGGGATTAAGCACAGGTGGCACAAAAAGGTAGATGCTAGACATAAGTGTGTGGATGATGGGTGAAGCATGCTTGGCAGCACGATGCATCACAGACACGCCAATCATGGGCACGTAGTATATAAGCACTGCACAAATATGTGACACGCATGTGTTGAGAGCCTTCCACCTTCCCTCTCCAGAAGCAATGCCCCGCACTGTATAAAGAATCAAGACATAAGAGACCACGATGAGCAATGAGTCCTGCCCAAAAGTTGCGAGAACAATAGCCAAGCCCAGGATGCTGTTGAGTTTAGTATCTTCACAAGGCAGCTGGATCAGATCTGAGTGAAGGCAGTAGGAATGTGAGAGGACATTAGTGTGACAATAGGGCAGCTGCCTCAAAAGGATGGGAAGTGGGGCCATGAGTGCCACACTCTTCAGTGTAATGCCCAGACCCATGCAAGTAATACAGGGCAGGGTCAGGATGGCTGTATAGCGCAGAGGGTTGTAGATGGCTACAAAGCGGTCATAGCTCATGGCCAGTAGGACCCCGGACTCCATGCAGGAGAAAGTATGAATGAAGAACATCTGGGCCAGGCAGCCATCAAAATCAACCCTGCGGGCATCAAACCAAAGAATGCCCATAACAGTAGGCAGTGTAGACACAGAGACGCCCACCTCAGTGACAGCCAACATGGAGAGAAATAGGTACATGGGTTCATGGAGGGCAGGGTTCTCCTGCACTGCTGCTATAATTAAGATGTTTCCTACAATGGCCACAACGTACATGGTGAAGAAAGGCATGGAGAGCCAACCATGTCGGGCCTCTAGTCCTGGGATGCCAGTCAGGAAGACGGATAAGAGGTCAAGACTTTCGTTGCTTTCAGTGCCCATGCCACCAACAGCAGAAATCATTCTTCACCTGCCATTTGAAAAAGACTGAAGTTAGCCCCCACCTGTTGGATCTTCTGCCTTAGTGGCCAATCTGAAAAGCTGAAGAAAAGAGATAGGGCAGGAAGTGAGAAAGTTGGAGTCATCTATGTCATTCTGAATAAAAATATAACAGATACTCTCTTCTCTCTTCCTGTTCTCCTGAGTTCCAGATTCCTAAACGTTACTTGGAAAAAAAATATTTCACACTACTCCATCTTTTTAAGTTTTTTAAAAATGTTTTGAATATTTTATGGATACACATTTGTACATATTTATAGTATACATGTGATATTGTGTCACATGCATAAAATGTATAATGGTTAAGTTGAGGTATTTAGGATATCTATCACCTTGAGGGCTTATTACTTCTATGCGTTGGGAATATGTCAATTCCTCTCTTTTAGCTACTTTGAAAAATATAATTCATTTTGGTTAACTATAGTTACTCTACTCCGCTGTTAAACATTAGAACTAACTCCTACTAACTAACTGTATGTTTGTAGCTATTAACCAGCCTCTCCTACCCTTAACACACATACCTTCCCACCCTCTGGTAACTATCAGTCTATACTCTACCTACATAATATCAACTTTTTTAGCTCCCACATTTGATTAAGAACATGCAATATTTCAGACTACTCAATCTTGTGAAAGATGGCATGGCTTAAAAATTAAGCGCAGAAACTTTGAAATAAATCAGACTTGGGTCAAAATCCATACTCAGCCAGTTTCTAAATGTGTGATGTGTGCAACTTATTTATATACTGATCCAAAGTTTTATTTTGTTTGGTTTTGGTTTGGTTTAGTTTGATTTGATTTTTAACTTGCAACATGAATATAATAATATTATTCTTTTTCTTGTAAGAGAAAATGAGAAAATTAATGTCACATATTCAGTATTTTGAAGCTCTGCAAATGGATTCTAGAAGACTTTAGTTTGAACTTGAATTGAGTTTACTTTGGGCAACCTTGAGCAGGTAATTTAATTTTTCTAAGTCTCAGTATTCCTACCTGTAAACTCGGGATAAAAATACACTTTTCTTGTAGGTTTTTTTGTAAGGATAAGCAAGATACTACATGGCATACTGAATAAGATATTTTATTCTTAGAGACACACTAGGACCCAGAGAGAAGGAATGAATAACGTGCCACAGCTTAAGAGTCACTTTCTGCAGAGCCTAGATTACACTTTAGCTTTATGATCTTCTCTTGAAGTAAGGTTACCAATTTCACTATAGAGATGAAAGTAAACTGTGTTCTGAAGTCTCATCTAGGTTGGAGTCGTCAGAAATAACTGAAGTTTAGCTTTGGCAATGTGAATCTTAGAAGAAAAGAACTCCTGGTAAAGAATCATCTCCATGAATCCCCATTCCATGTCAGAGAGGGAAAAATGTTTTGAATGAGAGTGAGACTATGGTTGTAGAAAGTTGAAAAAGGGAGAAATAGGAATATGGATGATGAAGGATAGAAACATTTCAAGTGAAAATTATGATAATACACATATTGCCTCTGAATTAGAAACAAAGTTTAGAAAAACTATCAAAGATGTAGTGGCTTCTAAAAGACCATATTTAACCAAGAATACATGCAGAAATCAAAGACACAAAGATGCAAGATTCCCTCAATGGCCAAGAGATCAGAGAGAAATAGCCAACCCCAGTCAGAAGGAGAAAATAATATATAATGTAATAAAATGCAATGTAACATAACATAGTTATTGTAATATAACATACTAAATTAAATTTGTAAACTTAATTTTTTAAAGACAATAACAGTGAAGTAGGAAGCACGTTCATGGCTGGTATAAAAACTGAATTACTTCCAATCACCAGTTCACACATTCACTCAATAGATTTGATGTATGAGTCAGTGATCCGGCACCAATTCTTTAGCCTGTGGTTAACCAATGTTGATGTGAAATTGTCCGTACACCTGAAAAGTTTAATAAGAGTGCTCTGCTGGAATACATGTATAGTCAGGAGAATGTACTGCCAAGGAAATATAAAGAGCTATGACCTCCAGGAGCTGGATATCAGCCTGGGCAACATAGCAAGACCCCATATGTACAAGAAGTTAAAAATTTTTTAAATTAGCTGGGGATGGTAACACATGTCTGTAGTCCAGTTACTTGGGAAGCTGAGGCAGAAGAATAGCTTGAATCCAGGAGTTCCAGGCTGCAGTGAGCTATGATTTCACCACTGTACTTCAGCCTAGGCAACAGAAAGAGATCTTATCTCCAAAAGAATAAAAAAGAGCTATGACATTGTTTACAATAGCAAGGACCTGGAACCAACCCAAATGCCCATCGACGATAGACTGGATAGGGAAAATGTGGCACATATACACCATGGAATATTATGCAGCCATCAAAAACGATGAGTTTGGGTCCTTTGTGGGGCCATGGATGAACCTGGAAACCATCATTCTCAGCAAACTGACAGAGGAGCAGAAGATCAAACACCGCATGTTCTCACTCATAGGCGGGTGTTGAACGATGAGAGCACATGGACAAAGGGAGGGGAGCACTACACACTGGGGTCAGTTGGGGGGACATAGGGGGGGGACGGTGTGGGGTGGGGAGGGGGGGGGGGATAGCAGGGGGAGAAATGCCACATGTAGGTGATGGGGAGGAAGGCAGCAAATCACACTGCCATGTGTGTTCCTATGCAACAATTTTGCATGTTCTTCACATGTACCCCAAAACCTAAAATACAATAAAATTAATAAATGGGAAAAAAAAAAAAGATCTATGAGTTTGGAGACAAGAGCAATGTAATTATGAGAATGATCCTAGGTCCTGCATTCTCTTACTTTCTACACTCTTTAGGCACCAGTTCTGCTGTAATCCCGAGCATTCTATCTCTGTGCTCCCTCAAAATGAATCACTTTCCTGACAAGTGAAATGTGTTTCCTTGTGCCTCTTATCAATTTATTTATCTTGAGTCTACCTTATTGATCAGTAGTTTTCAGCCTTTGCTACACATCAGAATCACCTGGAGAACATAAAAAACCCTGTGCTCAAGTAACACCGCATACCAATTAAAGTAGACTCTCAGGATGTGGTATCTAATTATCAATGTTTTAAAGCTCTTCTGGTGAACCCAATGTTGACAACCACCCCAGATTCATTTTGTGACATTCTATCCCTTTACAGTGATGGTATTTAAGGCTAAAATGAAATTTGCAAGCTCTTCCTGTCTCCTCCCATGACTTTCAGATAACTTTTCTACTCCATTATGGACTTACAAGTTAAACGTTTATTTGTGTTTCATCATCTACTAGACCATTCAGCACCCCAAATCTCCTCAGAATTGATTAGATTTGCTTATAATACTCCAGTGTGGTACCTACAGATGTAGCCTGGGTTTTGGGGCTAGTGCACCTCTCTGGAGGCTCAGTTAAGGGACACAAGTGCTTGGCAGGACTCTTGAGTCTGTCTAACGATCTCTCCTGAAGATCCTGACCTGCCTAACCTGAGGATGCTGGCCACTAGTAAAACATCATCTTCAGCAGGAAGCAACAATCAAGCCTTGAAAAGACCATAGACCAATGTCAATGGTCTCCTAGCCATTGCCATACTGTTCCCAGTCCCGTATGTTACTCTTTTCATACAGGACCTTGTTGAAGTCAACAATAATCCAATGCCCAGTGTATACCAGCTTTCTAGCTCATGGTGCCTCACCCTGCGTGGCTGCTAGTGGGCCCTACTGCAGTCTCCTCTGGTCAAAATGAAGCATCATTCATTCCTTCAATGTCCCTAACATGACTTAATTCCCTTTACTTTTTGCATGTAATGCAGTCAGTTTAACTCCTATTTAGAATGTACAAGCAAGAACTGAAGTTACTTCAGTTACAGCCTAAGTAGCTTATTCATCGAGGAGATCATAGCTATGGTCTATCAATACCTGTGTATGTTTGCATAGTTGGCCACGATTTAAAAATCCTCAAATCTCACTTTTACATAGGTTTTCTATAGAAAGAACAATATTCATTCAAATATGCTTGTGGTGTCCCAGCCACATTCAGATAAGGCTGCCAGAGACTGCTTTCACAGTGAAAGACACATGGATGATCACACATCAGGGGCTGAGAACTTGCCTCTGTTCTGTCTAGGAGACCATAGCCCCCCAAAATTAACTTGATCTGTGGATGGAAAATAATAACCAGAGGGACAATTGCTTCACTCCTAATATACTTCATCTGACTCTTGTAACAACCATATCCAGTGACTTGCCTGAAACCAGTAAGTGGTTATGTGGAACTAGAAGCTAGTTCTTCCAATTATAAGTCCCATGGTCTTCCCTATAAAGGCCAGCTGCCAACCTTCTAAAGCCAAAGACATCTAAATGAGAAAAATGGGGAGATGCTGGAGAAATTGGTCATGTTCATTTTTCCAGGCAGAGAAAAAGACTGAATTGCAAAGAGATTCTTTTTCTAGCCTCCTATGCAAACTGGAGGTCAGGTAGTAGGGAATAGGGGTTATTAAGTGACCTTTAAAAATGGCCCCATCTCAAAAGCCCACAAATTTAGTAATCAACTTAATAGGCTCTCTAGAATCTGAAACAAGAATCCAGTCTGGTACCCACTGAAAGAATGTCCATCTTTATCCAATTGTCACCTTCAATATTCCCAGTGATGGGGAGTTTATTGCATCCCTTAACCACTATCCTGTTCAGATCTCACAGATATTAAGTGTTTTCTTACGTTGGGCTTAAACATGCTTTCTCCACATTATAGATAGTGTTGCAGACTCAGAGACATAATAATCTTAATCAGGTATTACATAAATATTGCTCATGGAACATTATTTTCTTGTAGAACATTTACATTAATTTGTAAACATATATGTACTTGTGTAATTAATTATTTGTTTAATGTTTGTATGCCTACTAGATCATAAATTCTAAAAAGAATGTGTGATATTGACTGTTTTTGTTTATTATCACTAGGTATCCCATACTAGCACAGGGTCAAATACATAGCAGATGCTTAATAAATATTTTAACTAGATGAATAAATCACTGAATGGATATAGAGTATCTGAGGTTTCTGTGGTTATATCCTGTTATCTTTCCTTTTTCTCATAACCTGTCCTAAATCCCTTTACGTATTTCTGAAAGGGTCTGACTCTTAAATTCCGCACCACAAAAGTCCTCCTGTCAGAGGGACCAATTGATAGTCCAGTGTAATATGAATTAGCATTGTGATATATAGCTTACGGCAAATCTGTAGTTTTTTCTAACACTATTTAGCAGAAATAATAACTTTCTCATCTGTAACTTTGTAATATTTTACACAGACTTTTTCTATTTTATTAAAATTACATGTTTACCTCCTTCCTGTCAGATTTTGAGCTCTTTTAGGAGCAAATTTGTGCCTGGTTCATGCTGACCTTCCCAACACATGAAATGATTCTGACACAAAGAGATGCTCAAAAAACCATTAATGAATAAAATAAAACTACTTAGGCTGTAACTGAAGTACCTTTAGATCTTGCTTCTATACTCTAAACAGGAGTTAAACTGCCTGCATTACATGTAAAAAGTAAAGGGAACTAAGTCACATTAAGGACGTTGAAGGAATGAATGATGCTTCATTTTGACCAGAGGAGCCTGCAGTAGAGACGGGTTGGGATCAGTCTGACAGGTGCTGAGCCATAGGTGGAGATCACAGGGTGACAGTCTGGGGTTCATATAAGAAACATTTTTTCTAAAATCACAATGAACTAATAAGCTTCTGGGCAGTGAAGGTGTTCACGCAAAGATTGGATAATTCTTCTTGAAAGTTCTGGAAAGAGAATGTCAGCGTCTGCTGCATCCGGGTTAATGGACTTTCAACTCTCTTTCTGCTCACAGGCCTAAGGTTCCAGGCTGGCAAGGTCTCTCCTATTCAGTGACAGAATCCCATGGCTGTGGATCTGTGTGGGACAGAAGAGAAGCAAGTTCTCAACCCCTTCTGTGTGATCATCCATGTGTCTTTCACTGCTAAAGCAGTCTCCAGCAGACTTATCTGAAAGTGGCTGGGAGACCACAAGGGTATTTGGATGAATATTGTTCTTTTTATAGAAAATCTATGTAAAAGTGAGATTTGAGGATTTTTAAATTGTGGCCAACTATGCGAACATATACAGGCATTGATAGAGATTCACCCAAAGATGCAGAGACATGATAAGAGAATTTGAGAGAACCACACAGAAGCACAAACAGGATTGTAGATAGAAAAATACTGATTGCATACATAACTCAAAGATTCAAACTGATCAAACTCACCTGAGAGAGCTTTGTGAAGTGAGAGCTGGACCAAAGGCAGAGGACCAGAGCTCACAGTGGCTTCAGAATGGGCCTCAGGCAGGCACCAGCCAAGAGAGGAGGCTAACTTTATGCCTCTGCGTGAGAGTTCCCAGACGCCAGGACCCCTGGGGTCCTGTTTTGCCTGAGTGTGATGCTGTGCTGGGGATGGGGAAAGCAGAGGGGTTAGACCTTACCTTGGGAATAAAAAGATAAGAAAAAGCAAACAAAGAAATAAGAAGCCACTTCAGCTGGAGATACTGTCCTCTCTCCACTTAGAAAATGAAATTTCAACTCATTTTTTATGATGAAGAAGAAGTTGGAGACAAATTATCCAAACTTCATAACAACACCCCCCACAGTTATCCAGTCTCAAAACTGGCACTCTGTGCCCAGAACCCAGAGTCTAGATCCCTGAATTCTGAGTTTGGCAGGACCTAACGCTTAGATCTCAGAGACCAGAGCTTGAAGGCCAGAGACAACCCCAGGATTTAAGCAATAGGGGATATGACTTGGCTGCCTCGACCCACTTAGTCCTACACTTCCCTCCTGAATTCCCACTCCCATAGCCTGTCAAGTTCCCACAAGTTCAGGGTCTCCTCCAAAAGAAACATTCTAGGATGCTGAAGGACCATGGGCTCAAAATCATGCAGACATAATTTTAAGTCCTGGCTTTGCCACCTACAAGCTTCCTGATTTTAGAAGATTAATATTCCTTTAACTTAGAACCTGTTTTGTAAAAAAGGACAGTACCTATATACAAGGCATTGAGGTTCAAATGGGAAGAAAGAAGTAATAGGTTGTTTCTTTTGAATTTATCACACATGCTAGTCATCACAAGTTCTCTTGCAGGCTTCAATTTCAGGTTTCCCAAACAGATTCTTTTGCCCAGCACCTGAACTTCCCATTAAACAATCCATTTTCCCAGTTGTTCATTTCAGTTTAGAGTGAGGGTATATTGAGAGAAGGAACAGCAGGAGGGCTCTCTCCCTTTTCTATCAAGCGGTGGGATGGTTCAGAGAGGGAAACAGAAGATGTAACGTCCTCTTCCCCATGAGGAGCGCTGAAACTTCAAAGGAACAGTTGCAGAACACCTTCTACTTTGTATTATTGTTATAGAATTGGCTGGACCGAAAATAATGAGTTGGGAACCAGAAGATGAAATTCAGGAGAAATCATGAATTATGACCTTGTAAGTTAGGTCACAGAATCATGGACAAATAAGAAAATAAATAAATGATGCTTCACATTGGGCATAAATTTCTGGCAAGGAGAGGCAGCGTTCTGAGAAGTTATGATGTAAAATGACTCTAGCTATGTTATTAGAGGCAGCATGAAGGGCAGCAAGCATTGTTCTCGATCCAGTTTTTTCATTCATTTAAATAGTCATTTGATTGTTCCCTTAATTCACATGTACTGATGTGACCGACTCTGGGCTGAGTGCAGGGTTTTAGCTTGGACTGCCATTATCTATCACCATTTTTTAGATATTTAAAACATCTTTTTCAAAACTCAGTTTCTGCCTCCACTAAATGAGGGGATAAGTCAAGAAAAACCCTAAAGATTTGTTCACTCTGATGGTGGTAACACTAAACATAACATCTAAATCTCAAGACAACGTGTTTGTGTTAAATGTCATTTGTGAGGAATTTTGAAGCTTCCTCCCCACAATAAAGATTAAATAAAGAAATAAATATATCCTGTGAAGTGGAGTTAAATTTTTAACAATGGAACAAAGCAGAGATAGATACAATATGCAGGTAAATGCTTGGTAAACAAAAATACAACCAGCTTAAACACATCCCATCTAAAGAGGGAAGAAGTTAATAGGCTGCAGAAAAGAAAAAAAAGCTAATAGATTTGCAGAAAAGTCCTAGAAGACTTCATGATCAGGAGATTTTTATACAGTGAAATCCCATTGACAAAGTTCTCTTACCTGACTATCTCACTGTGACAATCAACTGTCTCTCTCTCTCTCTCTCTCTCTCTTTCACTCTCTCTCTTTCTCTCTCTTTCCCTCTCTGTCAGTTCTATTTGCCTGAATGAGAACCCTAAAGTTGGAGTTTGCCTGAATTTTGAATGTCATGGGGTAAGCACTGAGGGAAATGAAGGAAATCACAATATGGGATTATGACTGTGGAGTGGCTGGAGATTGTTTATCAGATTCTCCTCTGAAGCTATTTTTGTCTTCCACCTGCACTGCCTCCTGAAGACATTAGGCTATAAGTCTGCTCTTTTTCCCTTCACCAACAATATCATATGCTTAGTTGTGATGCATTCAGCTTCCCACTTTAAGCATCATTCGCAAGTTTACTTTGGCAATCTCCCAAAACCTCGTGCCCAGTGTCCCAGTTGGAAACTTCCCCTTTGTCTAAACAGTTATCTGCAACCAATATTTTAGGTTAAAATTTCCCAAGCTTAAATAGGTATGGAAATAACTTGGAGAATGTATTAAAACACAAACTTCTTGGTCTCACTCCTCGTAGTTTTTTTGTTCAGGTGGTCTAAGGAAAGTCCTCAGAATTTGCATCCCTAAAAAGTTCTGATGCAAAGCTGATGATGTTGATCTGAAAATCACATATCAAGAACCACCTTTCCAAACTCTCGCTTATCATGAGTTTTGTTACCCTTGTTGCACAGCAGATTGACATCAATCTAGTACCTGAGTGCTGTTAGAGAAGAGAAACACTGTCTTTCTCAAGCTTTAATCACCCAAGGTTCTTATTAAATGAAGTTCTCATTCAGTAGGAATTATGTGGAGCATAAGAATCTGTTTCTCTATCAAGCTACCAGAAATGCTAATGATATTGTTTATTGGACCATTCTTGGAATAGTGCTGTTCTAAACCTTTCTGCCTGAGTGTTTCTTCTCAGGCAATTATGTCTGCCAAAATCAGTACCCTTCTTTCTCCCTGACATCCTCAATCAAGAATTTTAACTTTTCTCACTTTTCACAAGCTACTTCATAACCACAAAACATAGCCTGTTTTTATGACCACAAACCAAGTAGATCTTCTCTCTTGCATGCAATAGAAACAGCAGCAGAATTATTTTTGCTAAGTTCTGTTTGCCCTGTAGAACTTCCTTTATTCCCATATAATATATGTCAAACAAGGATTTTTCAGGATACCTGTTGCTCTTTTTAATATTTTCTATTCACATGTCTATGTGGTTACTTTACAATATTTCATACTCACCATTATAACATGCTTAGCAACTACACAAGAATCTTCATATTCAATACATATATTGATAAGTGTTGAATAAATGTGTCATTTTATAGTCAAATATTATTTTATTAGTGATACATTCACTACTATCAAGATCCTGGGTCCTCTTGCTCCTTACTTTAGCATTCCTAAAGTTGTTAACAGGTCCCAATCCTTCCTCCAAAGGAGCTCTCTTGGGGCCTTCAGCCTTCCTCAGGCCTGGGGTTTATGGAAGAACTTGAGAATACCTCTGCGGATCGCCTTGGTTTTCACACTGTAGATGATAGGATTGAGCATGGGTGGTACAAACAGGTAGACATTGGACATCGTGACATGAACAACAGGTGGAGCACTTTTCTAGAAGCGGTGAATCGTGGAGACAGCAATTATGGGCACATAAAAGGCCAGCACTGCACAGATGTGTGACATGCAAGTGTTGAGTGCCTTGAGCTGCTGCTCCCGGAATATGACAGCCAGCACGGCTCTCAGGATCAATGCATAGGAAAGCAGGATGAAAGTTGAGTCCACACCATAGGTGAAAATCACCGCAAAGAGCCCATAAATGTTGTTAACGTGGATGTCTCCACATGCTACTTTCATGAGATCTGGATGGAGGCAGTAGGAGTGGTGCAGAACATTGCCTTTGCAGAAGGGCAGTCGTTTCACCAGAAAAGGGAAAGGGAAGAGAGTGCTGAAACTCCTGGTAAGGATGCCCAGACCCACAGCCAATATACGGTTATGAGTGAGCACAGTGGCATAGCGTAGTGGATCACAAATAGCCACAAAGCGATCCAAGCTCATGGCCAGCAGTATGCCTGACTCTGTGAAAGAGAAAGTGTGGATGAAGAACATCTGAACCAAGCAAGCATTAAAACCGACATGGTTGTAGTTGAAGCAGAAAGTAGAAATCACAGTGGGAAGAGTAGAAAGGGACACTCCCAGATCATTGAGAGCAAGCATAGAGAGGAGGTAGTACATGGGCTGATGCAGAGCAGCCTCCCAAAACACCAGCGCGAGAATGCTGAGGTTACCTACGATGGAGATCGTGTAGAGGATGCAGAAAATTAAGGCAATCCAGGTGAGGCCCGTTTGTATCCCAGGAATGCCCATCAGCTGGAGTGTTTCTGGTTGGAAGGGGGTGCCATTGAGGCCCAGCATGGTGGGAGAATACAGATGGAGAATAGACCCAAGAGGGTGTGTTGTGAGACTTCTTCACTTTCTTTTAGATACCCTGTCTCCAACAAAAGGTCATAGATTGAAAATAATTGCCTTCCCAGTAAGACACTAATCTCTTTAAAGAAGGAACCAGATTCTAATAGTTTTTTTACCACCAGGGCCCTGCACACTATCTAGGCCATAGTAGAAACTCTGTGGTTTGATGATCAAATGAGTGCCTGAAACACAGAGAGGCATAATAAGAGACAACAGAACAATTGTTCCTGGTAGACCAGGAAGAAGAAATACATCCTAGGCTTTGTAAAGTCTTCAGTAGATAGTATAGATGGAACATCTACTGCTATAAATTTACAGATTCAATAACCTGTACTCAGATTTCACCCCACCCTCCGAATCCCAATGGCTGCCCCTGAACTTGTCATAACAAAAAACTTCTATCTCTGAAATCCTAAGTTTCCTGTTTTCACGTCCTTAGGAAGCCTTCTACCTTCCAACCTTCTCCTGCTCATGCACTTGTTCTGGAGTCTCCATGATTCCCCCATTTTCTCCTGGTCTGTCTATGAACTCTTTTTCCTCACTTTTCTCCTGAACTACCCACCCACACTAAGACTGGTATTTTTATCTCCTCTTTACCTCTTTGACATTCACACAGTAAACTCCAACCTTTAAAAAATTATATAAACAAATCAGTTTGCAGCTAGGTAAAACTAAAGAATAAAGTATTTTCTGGGAATAAAAATGAGAGAATTATTACTTAACCATTACCAAAATTTTAAACCTGTGCACAGCTTTGTCCTTCTTAACCTCTACTTTCGAGAAAGAGATTTCCCTCCTTCTCCAAGGACAGGCTCTCCACCTTCAGGATTTCATATCCTGTCACCTCCTTCAGAGCCTTTTTCACTAATCCAGTGCATATTCATTTTCTCCCTTTCTGCCTCTTTTCTTTCAGACAGTAAGTGTGTGCAAGCCCATTCTATCATAAAGACACAATAACATTCTTCTCTAGCTATTGCTTTATGGCCCTTTTCCAATTCTTCACCAAATTTCTTGAAAAATTGTCTCTCCAGGTACCTGGAAGTAGGAGGTTTTATTTTATTATTATTTTTTTTTATTTATTTGCCTGCTTCTCCAACTTGTTTCTGAGATCTTCAATGTCAGGATTCAGTCTTACTTACTTTACCTTCTAGCACTAATCATTTCACTGTATTGTGGCTTCCACACTCCCCCTCTCCGAGTTGTAACAAATTTCTCTACGGTCACCAAGTGACCTCTTTGTCTCTGAATCTAATGAAGACATTCTGTCTCCTAATTCTCTTGATCTTCTTGCTACAGTTAACACTGTTTTTAAGTCAACTTTTCTCCATTCAGGGGCACTATTTGTCCACAGTTGTATTTCTTCCTGGGCTTATCCTTCTCTACCATCTTTACTGAATTATCTTCTCTGTTTTTTTTTTTAAGCAGCCTCAGCCTAACTTCAGGCAGAATAAACAATAGTCAGAATGATGCAAACTGGGAAGTCACACCGTAAGAGACTTCATCTCAACTTTTATTTAAAATAGCTCTTAAATCATATTTTCATGGTATTTAAGATCTTAAAATTAAAACTCCATTACGGAATTTAAGCACAATGTCTCCATTATTATTTTTCTTACTTTAGAGTTCCCATTTTATTCCTACCACTCCTCATAAACACAGTGAAATTAGATGGTGACAAGGGGCTGGATAATGTGTAGATATCAGTCATAATCCCAAATATATATAGGTAGTAAAAAGAAATTCATCTATTCCTTGAGTTTCTCTCTCCTTCCACTAAGGCAAATCATCCATTTAATAAGTAGTATTTTCTCCTCATGGATTACTGTCCTTGCGAAACCTTTCTTCCTCCAAGCCCCAGTATAAAGTTCATGTCTCTAAGAGGTCTTTTTAGATCTAACCTGTTCAGATCTGTTTTTTATTTTTTAATTTTGATTGTCTTTGCTCCAAGGTTTTCTTTGAGTCATGAAGAAATAAAAAGACTCTTGGTGGCACCAACAGATACTAAGAACTCATCCACAAGATAGGTTTACGCCACTGTCTGTAACCACTGGCATGCAAATCGAGGTAGTCTAGAAGGTAATATTTTATCTATTTTCCAAATTTTCAACCATGAACAAAGCAACTTTGAAAACTTTTCCTCGAGGGAGAAGATTCCACACCACCACCCCCAAAATAATTTTTCTTTGTTTTGTCCACAGGAGTGTTCATCAGAACTTCCTAAATGCGACCTATCTTAGAAGGAAGGTCAAGAAGGTGGAGAGACACAAGCAAGGTACAGGATATCATGAGCACACACACACACACAGCCATTCAAAGGTGCCAGGAAAATATACATTTTTACACTCTTATACTTACTTACCCAGGTATTTATAGGCGCTATCTCACATCCAACCATACACATAAACTATCAAACACCTCCTTACTCACTGGCATTATGCAATATATTTCAAATATCTCCTTATGTTTAAGCCCACTTGAATAAATGTTTATACATACACACACACACACACACAGTGTCACAAATGCATCGGCATCAACAAACCCACAGTAATATCTCCACTAATTATTTTCCCATACACACACACGTATACTGACATACACAATACTGAAAATCCTGCTAAGATTGGCAACTACATTGTTAAATGACTTCAGTTCATTTTGTTCTGTAATTTTTCTCCAGCTGCACACACAAGTCAGGTATAAAAGACAAAAAATCAAATTTTAGGATTTTAAATAAAAGGCATAAGATATCCTTGAGACAAAAATCTATAAATGATGCAGCAGTCCCTTAACTCAATGGGATGTCATTTGGTATTATGATATTGATTCAGATGGAAACTTGGCATCAGAGTCTGTGATCCTGGATTTTGGAAGGGGTCAGATTTGGCTCACATTTAGAAGGGGAGACAAAAGGTTAAAAGCTGCCTGGAATTTTGGTAGAAGTGTTAAAATTTAGAATAAAGTCTAGTTAAAGAGCTCAGATGGGCAGTGTGAAGCAGGGAGCACTCACTGGATGGAAGATGCTTTCCTTGTAGCTGGATATACTGTACTGTGGGTCCCGCTGGCAGTGGCATCAGCTCATTCTCCTAAGACTAATAAATTTATGAGCACTCCAGAATTCCAAGGCTTGCTTGTGTGTGGTTGTAGGAGGGACCATGAAAATAATTGGGAGGGTGGTATCAGTGAAGAGTGAGTTGGGCCATAAGAGAATTGCTCCCAGGAGAATCTCTTTCTTGACCCAGTCATTTCTGATGTAATCGTCCATATCTATTGTACACTAATCCTTCCTTGATCAGGGAATATAAACACACTGCATACATGTATACACACAAACATAAATAGCCATAGCTCTCCTGAGACCTTCGCAGATATCGCCTTAGAGCCATTTAACTATTTATTTACTAACATTCACATTGCCTCTTTCAAGTTTACATACATACAAACAGATATGTGCAAATATGCTCATACAATTGTCCAGTGTTCTAGTCACTAATTGTATATATTGACACATCAAGCACACACTATAATCTATATATTCTTACACTGATTATAAAGATCAAATTAAACAATAGACAAAAATTAGAAAAAACTATAAAACAGAGGTTTACATATATGCTTGAAGAAATGATCAAATATATTTCAAATACATTCTCCCACTTACAAAGCTAAAAGGGTATATTGCAAATATATGTTCATATTCTCACTAACAAATCAATAAAATATCCCACAAATTCTGACCTCCACATTTATTCAGATTCATTTGTGGAATTTAAGTGTGTTATGTATTTTTTTATACAAATGCATGGTAGCATCCATATAACAAATTCTTTATGCAAACATTTTTTTAAGTCCATCACTATATGGAACCTAAAAATTATAATCAGTTTATTTCAAAAAACTAAATGAACAGATAAAAACACATTTTTGAGCAATATTTTAGTCTAGATATTATTCTCAGCACTGATGGTATGGAGAATAATAAAGACACAGCACCTACTCTTGAAAATAAGATAAATATTTAAAAACGAATCCACCTAACACGCTACGTATACCTCCAAGCTCTACCTAGAAATATGTTATAAACATATTTCACAACAAAATTAATGCATTTATCAAAACTTATCTAATGTGCATGTAAGATTTGTGCAGTAGATGTTTGAAAGAAATCAAAGAACTGTGCAATATATTGAACTACAAATAATAATATAACTGCTGAACTATTTATGAAGAAGTGTGTTGATGTTACAACTTACTTTGAAATGCATACAAAAGGCAAGCTGTATTGATAAATTAGTAGAAAGATGGATACATCAGTAGATAAATTAGAACACATGGGAGGGGAGCATCACTCACTGAGGTCAGTAGCGGGGGCTAGGGGAGGGACAGCGTGGGTGGGGAGGCTGGGGAGGGATAATGAGGGGAGAAATACCAGATATAGGTGATGGGGGATGAAGGCAGCAAACCACCTTGCCATGTATATACCTATGCAGCAATCCTGTATGATCTGCACATGTACCCCAGCACCTAAACTACAATAAAAAAAATCAAGGATAATAAAATATTCCTGATAAAATTTCTGTCATGAATATACTAGTATTAACTGAAATTTTTTCAAGCTTTCTGTGTTTGAAATTTTTCGTAATAAAATATTGGGAAAATTTTAATGAAAAAAGAATGAAGCAAGACATAGGCTATTATGTAAAAATACAAACCATGTTCCAAACATCAGTGAAAATTCAAACTAATACAAGTGATCTCAATTTTCTTTAAAGTAACCCTGAGCATTTTTTATATCAAGTCAGTATTTAGCATGTTATGGGATAAATTTTACATATTTGGGATAATTGATAATTTTTTCATACGACTAAAGAAACAGATCAAATTTTTCAGTTGAAGCTTATTTTGCCAAATATTAACTACTTATGTTCAACAAATAAACACTCCCTGTCATGCCTATTTCACCTTCTAGGGACATCTGTTTCTCCACCAACAGGACTCTCTCCAGTAGATGCCACAGAAACATGCAGAGTCAGCTATAATAGTGTGTGATCACTGCCTTCATGGCAGAACTGAACAGTGCTGTGAAGAAAAGAGGTGTCGATTCTACCTCAGTGAGTAACGTTTTAGGGATACAGGGATATAAATAGTATTTAATAGAGTACTTGCTGGAAGTAGCTCCCAGAGAAATCTGGTCACCTGGCATTAAGAGAGAAGATCATTTTATACAACAGAATCTCTACTCCCTAGAACCCTAAAATGTCAATTACTTTCATCTTTCATGAGTTGATGCTTTGCATGGTGCTGATCATGAAAATGAAAGCCCCTGGGAGATTATGTATCTTACAATAATAATAGTACAATAAGAATGAGGTGAATAAAATGTGCTTCTGTTCTGTAACAAGGCTAAACCTGTTTACCCTCAAGTCCACCCCTGACTCTTCTGAGACTCTTTGTATCACACACGTACAATCACTCTTTGAAGAATGTGATGGAGAGAGCTGGTTGGGAAGCACTGACAGATGCAAGGTGTCTCTCACTCCACTCTCCTGTCTCAGGCAGAGACTCTAGTGTGGGCTGTATGTCTTCTACAGTTCCAGCTTCTACTAATTGTGTTCACTTTGGCTGTAGTTCTCGTAACCCCACTTTTGGGTTTCCAGTCTATAGGTGGTAGTGGCTTCCTGCTGTTACAAATCTCTAGACTATGTTACTATCTGCTGGTCAGTTCCTCAGTTCTTTTGAAATCTGTATAAATAATTTCCAGGATTAAATGCATTCAGTTTTATTGTACTTGTTAATATGTTATCACTGCTCAGTCTCAAACCATATCTTCTACAGTATTTTTGTGATATTGGGATTGAGCCTCTGCAAACTGAATTTCTTCTTTGACAACCAGCTCCCAAGATCTACAAAAGGGGACATTAGGAAGCTGGGGTAGGAAGAAGGAACTTGTACCCTACTTCCTTTCTGTCGCTCTTTCCCCAATAGCACTTCTTCACACAAGTATTAGTGGTGAATTCCAATGGTCTTAGTTGGCTATATTTTGAAGTTTTCCAACACTTCTAGAACCAGCCTTACCATGCCCTCTTAAAGACCTCAGAATTAGCCAGGTAAGTCTCCCCTCAGCCCCATCTCAGAGGAGTAAGTTCTAGTCATAGGGGAAGCTCTCTTCTGAATTGTTGAGGCCCCAGCATCACCTAAACAGTGACCACTCCTCAAAGTCTGAGTTTCAGTTTTGCAGCACTCCTCTTTCAAAATTGTAAGATTTAATCATTCCAGGTTCCTACCTTGGTTCCTCCAGTCCTAGGCTTAGAAGCTATGTCCTGAAGTTGCTGCCTACAATGACACCTTCATATTCCCTTTTTGTCTTGTGTGTTTGCCAATATGTGGTTAACAAGTCATTAATTTTTCTCAATTAAAAGAGCTGGTATGTATCTTATATTCTAACTAGACCCTACTGAACCCTAATTTTTGTTCCTAGGTTAGATCGTGTCTGATCCATGTGAGTCAACAGAGCCACTTAATATGATTTACACCCAGTGGATGTTCAATCTAAATAAATAAACATTGATAAACGTGCCTTTCTGCTCAAATAGCAAGATTGAAGGAAAGACTATTGTTGCATTGAAATAGCGCACTTGTAAAAAGCCTGACCACTTCTTGAATGGGCTAGAAGCTAGAGAGAGCTGGCACAGTGTTGTCTTATGTCCTATCCAAAAGACTGTATGGTTCTACAAGGGCAATCCAGGTTGTCGATGGAGTTATAAGCAACCACACAGAATAGAGATGTGTTGACTTAAATCAAGTGGAGAGCAAGTGAAAGATGAAGAGAAGCTTCTAAGAATAACCTATGAAAGCACCAAATGTAAGAAAGAGTCAGCTTTATACATTTAAGAGGCCCAGTTAACATGATAGCAATGGCAGCACCAATTAATTGTGAACTTTCCATTCCCCCATCTCTCTCTTCCTCAAAGGAGAAACCAGAAACCAGAGCTGGCACATGAAGGATGGGAGAAGGAGAAAGGATGGAGCTCTGAATGCTGGAAAGTTTGACTATTATATTAGACTAAACATTCTAATTATTCACCAGAAGATATTTTATTATCTTAATGTGACCAGAAAATTTAAAGAACAGTTTTCATCCAAGAATAAAAAAAAAAAAGAACCAGCCCCACTCAATATATTTAAAGAGACAAAAGAGTAAAAATAGTCACTTTCTTATCACACCTCAATTGATGGGCTTGGTCATCATATCACATGAACCCAGAATCTCTTACAAGGTAATGAGCTCCTCTCTTATAGCGCTTGCCTATCATTAGACAATGTCTTGGGTGAAGTAAAGAATTGCTCTGACATATTGCTGAGTTCTTTTTCAGCTACAAGAGCACATGCTTTATTCTCAGTAGTCATTACAGACCTCAGGAGACTAAAACCTCCCTGAAGAATTTTCAGACACAAAGTCAGCATCACTGTCCTCTATCCCAGGGCCTATCATGAGACATAAAAGTGGCAGGCATGAATTCACTTCAGCAAAGAAAGGGAAGAACTTGTTCTGTCGGTGTCTTCTCTGTCTCTTCTGGTGAGTTCTGAAACCCTGTAAAAATAAGCCAGCTGATCCTCCTGAAGCCTGCTCCATGAAAGCATTAACATGGGCAAGGGGTACGGTGAGGGGAAGTGAAAAAGCTTCCTGGAGGCTATCTGATAGCAGCATCTTAGTAGAATCAGCAGAGCAGCAGGAAAGATCCCTGGACTTGAGGTTCTTGTTCAGGCACTGCCATGGACTGCTTGTATAACCCCAGGAATTCACTGTTCTTCTCTAGAGTCCTTACTTGCCATAGTCCATTTCTTTGTGACTCCTAACTTCGAAGGTCAAAGTTTCTGTGGTTCATTAACATTGCTGCAAATTCAGAGAGGGAAGCAGGACTCGGGATACAGGAACGGTTCAGAAATCTAGAAGGGAAGTGGTCACAGCCCAGCCGTGACCAACAGCTGAAGCACCTGTGGTTTATTTGCTCTTCCCTTATGAATTCAGTGATAACAAAATATGTAAAAAGTCTCCAGGATATTAAAAGTATAGGAGAAATCAGTCATAAACTTTAGGTGAACCATTAATAGT